TCAAATCTTCTTGCGGGCGAAGAAACGCGCGTCCTCCAGCGATGATGATGAAAGCCTTCGTAGGCTACTCCAGTTCTTGAACACGACCTTTGGGCATTTGAAGTTCGTTTTAGTCTCCTTTTTACGGATCGAGTTTCATATGAAGCGGGAAAAAAGCAGCTGTTGTAAGAATCAATCTGAACAAATACGAAGACCCCTGTAGATTATTGATAACTCGAAGGAAAAACGACGAGTCCAAGTTCATTATGAAATTGTTTCACTAACCTTGTTAACAGGAAAATTACTAAAGAAATTAGAACAATAACAAGTACTTGATTGAAGCAACTCTAGACTACCGTTTATAAACCATCGAACAATTTTTCTTTGTGGTATTTCAGGTAGGCTACACAGTTATCTTTTTATTTTTTTATTTATTCAACGAAGAAGTCAATAGTGGGATGAGTGAAAAGAAAAATAAAAATGCAATTTTTTCCAGTTGAGTTACTTTGCTGTCCGCGATGGAAACAATCATGGTTAGAATGCGGCTAGAATGCGCATTTTGTTACTTTTGCAGCTGCGCGATACGCGTTACACACAGTAGAACTCCGCAAGGAGATTTCATTTACTTGTTCTTAGACTCTTTTGGCTCCATTGGGCGAAGAATGGCCTAGAAAACAGGGAACGAATTATTTGATGGTTAGGTGGCCAATGAAAGGGGGCCGCGTGTGGAATGAGAAAAACTTTCTCGTTTTGAATTGAATCAGCCAAAAGGCGTTACGGGTAAAAATAAGTTCTTGTCTACTGTTTTTTTAATAAAAAGAAAACTCCTTTTAAAACGTTTGACTAATTAAATGAGCAGATTCTTATAACACTCTATAACCCGAGAAGAGAGGGTGATTAAGAGCAGATATTGTTCCTGCTTGTCAGGAAAATCTGCCATGTAAGTATTTAGTCGTGTTCAAACCCTTGGACACGACTTCGCAGAAAAATAAATTTTAGGTATAACGAAGGGAATCGCTTGGAATTGGTGCACGTAGAAATGCGTACTGAGAACTTTAATAAAACCGCTTTATCGGCGAAACTTCTAGGCATTTATCCACACGTGTGCGTGAACACTTGATAAGTGATAGGAGCTCTCAACTTTGTGCGATTAGAGCCTTAAAATTCTCAGCAATGTCGCACACTTTGTTCTGATAAGTGTTTCAGCATCTTTGATCACTCTTCCACAACGTTAACTCTCCAAATTAAAATCAAAGAAGCTATTCACATTCAATGGGAGCAACCTACACTTAATCGTCAACTTTATTATGTTAATTTAAAACTTGTCTTGTAATTTCATACATTGTTTTGTTTCAGTGTCTGTTTTGTCCCATGAGCATTTTGTTATACACTTTAATTCAACTTTGTGCTTTGTAGAAATCAGGCCTGAAGATGACAGAAGAACTGTGGAAACATATTTTCAAAAACTGTCGTATATTTACTTTAATTCGAAATTTGATAACATACCTCTTAGCCATGTGAGATCTACAGATACACTCCTTTTTTTTTATAAGAAAGTCTAATTTTGGGCCTGAGGTTGAACTTTCTTATTTTTTTTATTACAATTTGAGCCTTATACCGTCCTTAATGTGTTCTTAAAGTTGTGTGATATAATTATATTTCAATATATCAATCTCAAAAATATCCTTAAGTTTTTGAGTTAATTGTCTTGGTGGACCACAGTTGTAGACTTCTTTTACCTTTATTTATACTTCTCA